GCCCCTTGGCAGTCTGCGCCTGCATGCTGCCTCCCACCCCACCCCGGGCGGGTCTGCGCGTCCCTGACTACACCTCGTCTGGTTGGTGTGTTACAGGCCATCCCTGTCTTGGAGGCCCGAGCCTGTGCGGCCGCCGGACAGAGCGGGCTGATGGCCTTGTATGAAGCCATGTTCACCCAGTACAGCATCTGTGCTGCCCAGGTAAGAGGCGGGGTTCCGAATGCCATGTGGGCCCTGGGAGGGTGGTTCTCCCAGGGCTCCAGAGCCAGCTTGCCAGGACAGACTCGGCTTCACCACTTCTATTGGGCAGTCTGGAGAAAGTCTTTATGTCCCACCTTTTTGTCCCTCAGTTTCTTCATTTGAAAAATGGGGATATCAATGCCTGCTTCAGATGGCTTTGGGAAGGTCTCACTCAATAGGAGCATGAACACAAAGCACTGGTATAGTGTCTGGAATGTAGAACCTTCTTATAAAGTCTTGGCTCTTGGTGCTCTACTAATAACTTTTTTAAAAAAAGAATTACTTAATTTGATTTATCATCATTATTTTTTCATTTTGACGAGAGAGAGAGGGAAAGTGAGAAAGCAAGCCTCCAGGTCCGGGACTCAAACTGCAGTCCACCGTGTGGGAGGCCAGCACCCCCAACCACCATGCTACCTGCCAGCCCCACCCTGCTAGTTACTGTTACGACAACTACCACTACTGTTACTTCTGAAAGCAGGAAAGTTTGATGTCTGTATTTCACTGGCTTCTTTGACTTCAGGTGGCCTGCTTCTCCTGGCACCTGCTTGTCTCTTGTCACACGTGTCTATATAATAGATACTGAAGGAAAGGAGGGATGACTATGGTTGGTTTTCTTTTTTTAAAAAAATATTTTATTTACCTTTATTCATTTGACCAGAGAGGGACAGAGAGAGAGAGTGAGAAAATAAGCCACCGGGTCTGGGACTCGAACTGTGGTTGGCCATGTGGAAGTCCAGTGCCCTTAACCACCACACCACCTGCTGGCCACCGACTGTGGTTGGTTTTTCATTTCTTTTGGCAAATACTGAGTACCAGTGGTGGACCAAGGAGTCTGTGGGACATTGGGGATTTAATTGACTGGACAACTCCACATTAAATAGAAACAGCTACATAGTCACTTCACCAAACAACTGACAAAAGTCAAACTCCCAAGTCACCACCTTCAAACCTTGCTGGTCCCGAACCGGCCGTCGACTCGGACGTGCTGACACGTGTGGTGTTGTCATGGCTCCGTCGTTGCAGGTCTCGCTGTTTCGTTGGCTGTTGCTTCCTTCCTCCGTTTCTCCAACATTCTCACAGTTGTCACCCACAGTGGTGTTCCAGTGTTATACCAGCCTGCCCCTGAGCTAGAAAGGCATAGGCTTGTCCCCTGTGGCCAGGGACCCACTCTGTCTAAGATCTTAGACATTTTCCTGTTAGCCTAAATATGATAGAGTCCGTGGTCTTTATCACCCTTCCATATTATCAGCTCCCTTCTCCACAGTCCAGTGACGTTTTCAGCCTTTCATTTTGTAGCAGTGCATGGAGCCAGACGAGGACATTTAGATACAGGAGCTACACTTCGGTTTTGTTTTTATTTTTTCCCAGGGATGGTGCTTTGTGAGGGCCTTTTATTTTTTCTTTTTAAGAATTATTTATTTAATTTTATTCATCATCATCATTATTATTTTTTAGTTTGCTACAGGGCTCATGCACTCACCAGACAGAGAGAGAGGAAGAGGGAGAAGAGGGAGAGAGAAAGTGAGAAAGTAAGCCGCCAGGTCTGGGACTCATACCGCAGTCAGCCATGTGGGAGTCCAGCACCTTAACCACCATACCACCTGCTGGTCCTGTGAGGGCTTTTTGTTTTACTTTGTTCTTGTTTTTGTTTTACTTTGTTTTTGTTTTACTTTGTTCTCGCTCGCTCTCTTTTTTTTTTTAAGTTAGAAATATTCTTTATTTCTAGGAGGTCTTAATGATCTTGATGTAAAGGTTTAAGTGTTTGCTTAAATGTTATGTTAGGTTTAGGTCCGTTGCCATGTTAACTCACTTTGAAGTAAATACAAAGCAGATCTGCCTTTATGACAAGAACAGAATAACATTATTTATTAATTTTTAATCCAAAGAAGGTAATTAATATACAACAGGTATTTTGTTTTGTTTTGAGAGATTTTTTGCTAAAGGGCATGTGCGTTTGCCCGAGAGACAGAGAGCAAGAAATCATCCCCCCCATGAGGGATGGCCATGCAGCAATCCCGTCTCCTCTATTCTCCTCTCAGGATCTTGGGCACACGTGCACATGAGTCCACAGTGAGTTTTAAACTGCTGGGTCCAGGACTCAAACCGCAGTTGACTATGTGGGAGTCCAGTGACATAACCATTATGTCATCTGTTGGTGCCATTGTTTTGTTTTAAAGCCCAAAAGGAGCCAACAGCAAAATGAGTAGTGTAATAATTGAATAGTTATATATGTGATGCCAGTCATTGGCAGGCTGTTTCAGGGCCAAAACAATCTTATTACACACATGTGTATTATTTCTAAAACTGCATTTACATCATTACCAGGTATAGTTTGTTTTGTATTAAACCTCAACTGGATGCTGTTACTGTGGCAAATTGGATTTTAAAAAAAGGTACTCCTTTCAAAACTTAAGAATAAATATATAAGAAATTAATTCCTGTACATTAAGTGATATTCTTTCATTAGTAGACTGGGAGATAACCTTAAGAATAATTGGGTAAGCCTATTAAGTTGGAAAATTGTGTATTATATTTCATTCAAAATTGGATGCTTGTTAATTCTTCATAGTATTGTTAAATTGCTATTTTAGTTTAAAAACTGAACATGAAAGATTATTGGTAAAGCTCTCAGTAAGAATAGAAGTTGAAACCTATTTTAGTTTAGTAGGGCAGCCAATTTTTGTTATATAACATGTGTATCTGACCATTTTAAGTTGGAAGTATTTTTTAGTATTTGGTATACATAAACAGCTGACTTTGATTTTTCAGCCAAATGTTTGTGGTAATGTTTAGTTACTTTTGTCGATACCTGAACAGTAGCATTGTTTTATAGCTCTGTATTTCCTAAAGAAATACAATACTTCTAGCTCTTTCATCACAAATTTGCCCCGTCCAATAAGTTCTTTGATCTTCTCTGGGTTTTTCACATCTTTGTTTTTAAGGAAAGCGTTCTTCAGTTGCCTTTTAAAATAGTCTGCTCCTTTTGGATAGTCTGGTCCAAGATACGGCCAGTTTTTATAAAGGCTCAATATACTTCCTCTTAAAGAATTGGACATTCTCCTTCACCATAGAAATTATCCACTTTTTTTTTCTTGTAAAGAATTATTTAATTTTATTTTTTCATTTGTTTATTTTAATTTGACCAGAGAGGGACACAGAGAAAGAGAGAGAAAGAAAATGAGAAAGCAAGCTGCCAGGTCTGAGACTCCAACCACAATTGGCCATGTGAGAGTCCAGTGCCCTTAACCACCACACCACCTGCCGGCCCCAGAAATTATCCACTTTTATACATAACATACCTGACCGCCTTTGGCCCCAGATCGGGAGAACAGCATAACGCCTAGACAGTGCACTCTGGCGCTTCCTGGCAGGCCACGGCTGTAAATGCCTCTGACCACTTCGACTCCTCGGTCCTTCCCGTCTTGTTTTCTTTTCAATGACTGCAGCATCAAAAGTCAGCGCACACCAGCTCTCATTAATTTTAAAAAATTTATTTATTTACATTTAATCACATATTTACAGTGTACAACATTTCTTTCTCAGCAAAAATACTATGCACGTCAGTCAAGCCAAAGATATTACTATATAACTTACCAGCAAATAGCTTCTCATTTTTTTTTAATCAATTGAGCAGATTTTACTTGTTTTTCCTTCACTGTTCCCCTCTCTCCCTTCCATACTAAACTTTTTTTTCATATTTTATTGAGTCACAAAATACTCAAAGTAAAAATATGGACAAAGCTAGAATGTAATTACAAGTGCCTTGTAATCTTCTGAAACATAATGTTTTTTCAATAAACCACAGATTAGTTTATTTTTAACACCCATCATGCCATGAATTCATAGGGAATAGGTTCCAGTAGCTCAGGCTCCTTTCCATTGGTTCTCACAAAGTGTGCTTCTCTGGGTGGAGCAGCTGGCACTGCAGTGGAACCCAGGTCCCTTTCTCTTTGGCTTCTTTCTTTTTCTGGTCATTTTCCTTCACACGTTTGAGGAAGCGATCTCTGCTTTTAGAACACTTAATATGCTCAATGCACACATTAATTCTCTTGGCAAGAATCTTGCCCTTAACTTGTTTGTTCGCAACATTGCCAACAGCATGCCGGGTAACAGTGTAGACCCTTCCAGTTTTGCCATGGTAACATTTGTGGGGCATTCCTCTTTGAACAATGCCCATTCCCTTGATGTCTACAATATCACCTTTCTTGTAGATTCAAAGGAACCACTCCATGTTTTCTAAAAGGCCTAGAGAACCTATATCAGGTGCCTCTCTTCTTTCCCTTTGTGTTCGTCATTTTGGTTAGTTACTGGAAGATGGCGGTTCCGGCCAAAAGGCACCAGTTCCATTAATATTGATGTGAGGGACCAGCAGGTGGTGTGGTGGTTAAAGGTGTTGCTGGACTCCCTCATGGCCAACCAGAGTTTGAGTCCTGGACCCGGTGTCTTGCTTTCTTGCTTTCCCTTGCTCTCTCTCTCTGGTCAAATTAAAAAATAATAACAAATGGAATTAAATAAATATTAAAAATATATCTATCAAAGTGAAAGAGCTCTGTCCCCTCTAGATCCCGACAAGTGCCAGTCCCTGGGCCTCTTCTCTCGTGCTGTGCCTTCCCCAGCACTGTCTTATCTAGGAATTCTTTGCCCTTTGCCCTTTATCCTGTGGTTCCTTATTTTCCTCAGTGATCCGAATCCTGCCTACATAGAAGCCCATTATCAGTGGCTTTTGAAAATCTCCAGTAAGTTGTTTGCCAGGTTAAAGTCTTAAAAAAATTACAGGAGTGTCTTGTTTCTTCATGGAAAAGGAACTGTTCTGCACCTCGGCAGATCGCCCTGCTCCGAGCACTCTGGTCTCTCTGGGCCCCCGTCTCCTGCTGCGGTCAGTCCTCAGCCCTTGTTTGTGAAACTTTTTCAGTGACAAGCGTTTTTCCTGGACCTTTAAACCTCTGCTTTACCTCATTAACTCTGAGTCTACTTTGATTGGTTGGTCTTTTCACTGGCATGACTAGAATCTGTGCATTTAGTTCTGACTCAGCTTTGTTTCCTGCGGAACTAAGCGTTTGTGGAAAACGGTTCATGGTCTTTTCTTACAGAAATGTACCCTGTTCCACCTTCTCCCAAACCATGAGTTTGTTAACTCTCCTTTTCAGTAGCTAGTCCAGGGCCTCCAGTATCCTTTCAAAGTGGATTTTTATATTTTCTTAATTTTGTAAGTTGCTGAGATTTGGTACTTCTCTTTAAGTACAGAAGTCTCGAGTATCCTTAAATTTTCCAAATGACTGTACATTTTTTTTTTTACCTTTAATAAAAGAATTAGGTATGGGCAAACAGGTGGTGTGGAGATTAAGGCACTGGATCCTACATAGCCAGCTGTAAGCTTGTGTCCCAGACCTGGTGACTTGAAAATTATTCTGGGTGTATGTGCAGGCATGCCCAAATTCAGAGAGGACAATGTGGCCATCCCTCCAAGGGGTTCTCTCTCTCTCTCTCTTTCTCTGGCTAGCGTACACACCCTATAGCAAAAAATATAAAAGAACTGGGTAAACATCTGAAGATACGAAGCTCATACTAGTCTGTGTGGGATCCCAGGAGCCTAAAGTTTAGCTCCCCTGCCCCGACAGCTTTATATGCTGTTCCCAGGAAGTTCCTCATTTCCTTCCCTCCTGCATTTTGAATCCTTGAACCCTTCAGATTCTGGTGACCAACCTGGATTTCCACGATGAGCAGAAGCGCCGGAACCTCAACGGGACACTTCATGAGCTCCTCCGAATGAACATCGTCCCCATCGTCAACACGAACGACGCTGTCGTCCCCCCAGCGGAGCCCAACAGTGACCTGCAGGGGGTAAACGTGGGTGAAGTATTCTAAGGGTCGAGCATGCTGGACGCACTAACGGCGCGCCGTGCTGCATGCGTACTAACACCGGAGATGGCGCCACGGGACGGGCAGTCGGCATCCCGGAGACGCTGGCATCACGGAGCAGGGCCTGCGTGGGGGCGTTTCGTTCTGGCCTGACTGAAGTGGTGCTGTGAGCGTGGCTTTCCTGGCAGCAGATGGAGGCTGCATGTGTGGAGTAGGGGCTGCCAGCAGGCACTGCGTTCTGCAGACAAGAGGGGCTGCATGAGCTGTCACCTGTCTTTGCGATCGCTGGTCTTGCCTGCGGGGGCTGAGCTGAGTCTTCTCTGAGTGTGTCTTGGGCGGCAGCTCACTCATGACTTCTTACCTGCGTTCTAGGTCATTAGTGTTAAGGACAATGACAGCCTGGCTGCCCGGTTGGCCGTGGAAATGAAAACCGACCTCCTGATTGTTCTTTCAGATGTAGAAGGTACAAAGTTTTGCCCCATTTTTTTCTATCTGCCCCTTGTCTTAGAGGCGGTATGTGTGAACACATGAGTTTCCTTTTTTGGGGTTCTTCTGATCTTCTCTCTACTATACATCATTATTTTCTGAGCCATGTGGTCTGACAAGGGTTTTATGACTTGAAAGAGAGGGGGCAAGTCTCGGTGATGTGGTTTGAATGGCGAGTGTCAATTCCAGGTGCTTTTCATTTTCTTTTCTTTTTTTAATAGCTTTACAGAGATATCAGTCACATGCCATAAAATTCACCTACTTACAATTTAATGATTTTTTAGTATATTCACGTAGTTGTGCGACCACCTCAGCCAATCATAGAATATGTTGACTGCCCCCACGAGAAATTGTACCCATTAGCAGCCACCCTGCACGGCTGCCCATACTCCCCAGCCATAGTGACCTCCAGTCACCGTTATGTCTCTGGATTTACCTGTTCTGAACAACTTTTAAAGAATTATTTCATTATTATTTATTTATTTGGCCAGAATGAGGCAGAGAGAGGGAAGGTGAGAAAGCAAGCTGCCAGGTCTGGGATTCGAACCCTGGTTGACCATGTGGGAGTTGAGCACCTTGACCATCATGCCACCTGCCGGCCCCTCTGGACATTTTTTGTAAATGGAGTCTTCCACGTGTGGCCGTCTGTGACCGACTCCTCTCACTTAGTATGACACTTCCCAGGCCCACGCAGTGGCACATCTCTGCGCTTGATTGTTTCCTTATTGCCAAATAATGTTCCAGTCTGCAGAGGCCACATTTTTACCCTTTGTCAGTTGATAGACCTCAGAACCATTGTGACTGATACTCTATGTGCAAGTTTTTGTGCAAATAGTGTGTGATTTTAGTTCCTCTAAGAGTAGTGTTGGATTATATGGTAGCTCGGTTTAAAAGCCTTTTGAGGACCTCTCAGTCTGTTTGCAGACAGCTCCATTTTGCATTCCCATCAACATTGTATGAGGATTGTAATTCGTCCACATTGTTGCCAACACATACTCGTTGTTATTTGCCATTTTTCTATTTTAATTTTTTTTTTTTCCATAAGACACCTGCACTTGCCAGAGAGAGGCATACAGAGGCAGTGAGAGAGAGAGAGAGCGAGCGAGAGAGGCCATTCCCCCTGCAGTCCCTTTTCCTCCGTTCTCCTGAGGATTTTGAGTATGCATGCACACGTGCCCAGCATATTTTCCAGGCTTTGGGACTGAGACTCATACCTGCACAGTTGGCCGTGGGGGTCCAGTGCCTTAGCCACCACTCCACCCACTAGCCTCTTACTTGCCTTTTCTATTGTATCGATTTTAATGGGTTTACAGGGTTATCCTACGGTTTGGATTACTTTCAGATTTTGTTTGTTGTTTTTTAATAAGAGAGAGAACAAGAGCACATGCCGGGGAAGGAGGGAGGCGGAGGGAGACATTGTTGGCAGGGTCTAACTTTGTCACAACCCTGCCTGTCCCTGCCCCAAACAGCTAGGGCCATGAGCACACACCACCACACAGGAGCCAAGCCCAGGTGTCTGTGCAATGTCAGCCGTCTTGTGGAGGCGCCCTCCTGCCTGTGCCACTGTGGCTGGGCCACTGCTACTTTAACGTAAATCCCAGGACAGGTGATTTTGAACTGGAGCTGCTGAAGGAAACCTAGGCTGATGGCCGCTGTACCTTTCTGTGATACTCCGTTCCTCTCTGCTTTCCGCTGCCTCTGGGTGCCACTTGGCCGTTGATTCTTCTCACTCTCTAGCTATTCCCATTTCATAGTTGGACCCCTAAGAAATACAGTGGCATGTCCAAAATAGGCTGAAAGTTCCCCAGTATGTTCCCAGGGGTTCATCAGCAGGCCTGAGCGCTTACTGGTAATTGGTTCGATAGTTATCCACTGGACACTGAGTTTTAGAACAATATCAGAATTTTATAGTAAGTATGCTCTTGGGTTGAGAGCTGCCGTAGAAGAGAGGAGTGGGCAGAATACTAGAATGCTGGGATTCCTCGACTTTCTGGAGGAGGTTGGGCTTAGAATTGTCTCATCTTTCTCAAGCTATTCCATGAAACTGGCCAGTCTCTAAATCTGTAAAGTCAGAGCACACTGAGTTTTAGAACAATATCAGAATTTTATAGTAAGTATGCTCTTGGGTTGAGAGCTGCCGTAGAAGAGAGGAGTGGGCAGAATACTAGAATGCTGGGATTCCTCGACTTTCTGGAGGAGGTTGGGCTTAGAATTGTCTCATCTTTCTCAAGCTATTCCATGAAACTGGCCAGTCTCTAAATCTGTAAAGTCAGAGCACTGTATCTTCTGGGAAAAACCTAGCCCCGAGTCCTGGAGAACCGGGGAGTACAAGGCTGAGGTTGGCAGAGACCGTGAGAGGTTGTTTTCTTTTTTTTTAAGGAATTATTTATTTAATTTATTATTATTATTATTATTATTATTATTATTATTTTATTATTTAATTCAGCCAGAGATAGAGAGAGACAGAGCGAGAGAGAGAAAGGAAAAATAAGAAAACAAGCAACCAGGTCTGGGACTCGAACCGTAGTCAGCCACATGGAGTCCAGCACCTTAACCACCACACCACCGGCAGGCCCCGAGAGGTCGTTTTCCTATTCCTGGAGTTCATTGTTTGCACTGCTTTGCTCCATGCTGGACACTGATTTCCTTATTCCCTCCATTTACTTACTGCCACCAAGAGAAGTCTATGGCAGAATTTTATTAGACATGGGCAGTAATGGAGGGGAGAGGTATATTATAGCCTGGGAAAGGCAGCAATTTAAAACTTCAAACAGCACTAACAAAAATACCCTTCAGCTGCAAACAGGGGGCCCCTTTTTCATCTTTAAGTCTTTCGTCTTTTTAAGAGATTTTTGCTATAGGGTATATGCACTTGCTAGAGAGACAGAGAATGTGAGAAATCATCCCTCAGAGGGATGGCCATGCCGTAATCCCTTCTCTTCCATTCTCCTCTAGGGATTTTGGGCATGCATGCACACGCATCCAGGGTGAGTTTTAAGCTGCTGGGTCCAGGACTTGAACTGTAGTTAGCCATGCGGAAGTCTGGCAGCATAACTATTACCCATCAGCTGGTCCCATGTCCTCCTTAGGCTTGATTTGACTCCTTTTTCTTAGGCCTGCCTTACCCTCCACCTCTTCCCCTGCAAAGCTCCTACTCGCTCTTTAGAGTGAAGTTGTGAGGATTCTTAATCCCGGGCTCTGGGCATATCTAGCTATTCCCATTTCACAGTTGGACCCCTAAGAAATACAGTGGCATGTCCAAATTAGGCTGAAAGTTCCCCAGTATGTTCCCAGGGGTTCAGGAGAACCTAACTCCCTCAGTGCCCTCCCAGCCCACCCCAGGCAGGCTGCCTGGCAGGAAGTCTTGCTGTTCTACATGTCAGGGAAGGAAAGCCAGGGCCACCCAGTGGAGGTGGGGGAAATGAGAGCCAGGGCCACCCGGTGGAGGCGGGGAAAGGAGAGCCAGGGCCACCAGGTGGAGGTGGGGGAAGGAGAGCCAGGGCCGCCCGGTGGAGGCGGTGGGGGGAGAGCCAGGGCCGCTCGGTGGAGTAACTGTGCACACTGCTCTCCGTTCTGAAGGGGACACATGCTTTATGGAAATAAATCGAGGCTGGATGCCAGGAGTCCTGAGCTCTCCCGCTGACTCAGCCTGAGCTCCACAGCAGCTCACATAAATGGGAGGATCAGCCTGCGGCGGTTTCCCAGGGCACCGTGAGTGTCACCGAGTCCCCCTGCCGCAGTTAACAGCATCTGTTGTGCTGCCGAGTGGCTGGGGCTAGCCTCGGGGAGCATCTTCGTCAGTGGCGGTGGCAGAGGGAGGACTCTCCAGCGCACCTTGGACAGGCTGCTGCGTTTTTTGCCACACTCGAGATAGACATGGATGTGGCCATGTTCTGGTGTTGGGAAGCATCTATTTAAGGAGCCAGGCTGGGGACCAGCAGGTGGCATGGTGGTTAAGGTCCTGGACTCTCACATGGCCCACCACAGTTTGAGTCCTGGATCCAGTGGCTTGAAAATCAAGCTGGTCATGTGTGCATTCAGATCCAAAATCCCAAGGGGAGAATAGAGGTGAAGGGACTGTGGCATGGCCACCTCCCCTAAGGGATGGTTTCTCACATCCCCCTCAGTCTCCGGCTCTCTCTGACAAGCTCATGTGCCCTATGGCAAAAACCTTAAAAATTAAAAAAAAAGCATAAAAAAGTCAGGTTATAAAAGGAGGCAGGGTCAGGGGCCAGCAGATGGCATAGTGGTTACATTGCTGGAATCCCACATGGCTGACTGCAGTTCGAGTCCTGGACCCTGTGGCTTGAAACTTACACCAAGCACGGGCGCGTGTGTGCCCAAGGCCCCGGGAGGAGAATGGAGAAGGGATTGTAGTGTGGCCATCCCCTCAGAGGGGTGATTTCTCATCTTCCTTCTCACCGTCTCTCTCTCCCACAGTCCTTTACACCCCCTTAGGCAGCGCACACACCCTAAGGCAAAATCCTCTTAAAAAAAAGTAGGCAAGAAGAGTCCTGGCGCTGGTCGTGGCACCACAGACCAGCTCGGGGAGCGCAGTGGCAGCTGCCTAGGAGCACCTGGCTTGGGGACGCTCCCGTCCACGTAGAATCACTGACTCTTCTCTGTTTTTAGGGCTCTTTGACAGCCCCCCGGGGTCCGATGATGCCAAGCTCATTGATACATTTTATCCCGGAGACCAGCAGTCTGTGACGTTTGGAACCAAGTCGAGAGTGGGAATGGGGGGCATGGAAGCCAAGGTGAGACTCGGGTGCCTGGACAGCCTGTGGGCGAGTCGGTGGTATCTCAGCCTTTTCACCGTTGTCATTGGCTGGGGGGTGAGGTCTCAGATACGAGGCTGCACACACTGACTGTGTACATGCCTGTTTGAGAGTATCAGCTCTTATGCATCTAGTCGTGTCTGATATACATTACTATTAGTATGTAACAGCGCGTTTATATGGTAAGCACCTCAAGCGTGACACCTGTATGTTTTTCATAATCCCTAAGTCCTCTAATATTATCAGCTCAAATACTTCTTGATAAAAATCTTCAACAGTCCCATTGATTGTATTAAGAAGTTGTACCCTAAAGATACAGCATCATGCATACTATGGCAGATAAGATAAGAACTCCATTTACTGGGCGTGGTGGCGCCCGCCCTATGGCAAGAACTCCATTTACAAATGATAAAAGTACTCTGAATTGGGACCAACAGGTGGTGTGGTGGTTAAGGTGCTGGACTCCCACATGGCCAACCACAGTTCAAGTCCTGGACCCACTGACTTAAAAATCACACCAGGTGCATGTGCATGCATGCCCAAAATTCCAAGAGGAGAATAGAAAAGGGAGTGTGAGTGACCATCTCACCCAGGAGTGAGTTCTCACTTCCCCTCTCTGTCTCTCTCCAGCAAGCTCACATGCCCCATGGCAAAAACCTAAAAAAAAAAAAAAAAAAAAGCTCAGAATCTGAGTTGGTTCGTAGCATAGTGCTGAAGCACTGTGCTGGGAAGCTGGATCCCATGTGGCTGAGCACAGTTGGAATCCCAGCCCTGGTGGCTTGAAAGACAGAGTATGCTGTATATGCCCAAAGCCAACAGGAAGGAGGGATGGTGGGAAAGGAATAGAGTGACCAGGCCCTACTGGGGGTTACTTTGTCTCTCTATATAGTGAGCTTACATGCTCTTTATTTTTTTTTTTTTTTTTTTTTTTTTTTTTAATAAAAAAGAAGTGGTCAGAATCAGATTCTGGTCAAATCTCTTCCCTGAGCCAGTTCTAAGTTGAGGTACAAGAAGTCAAGTGGACAAGTTATGTGAGACCAGCAGATGGCGCTATGGCTACATCTTTTTGACGAGTGCACGCACCCTTATAGCAAAAACCTCTCCAAAAAAATGTAGAAGTTATGGGTCCAGAATAGAGTCTTTTGGAGAGGTTTTTTTTGTTTTTTGTTTTTTGCTATAGGGCGCGTGCGCTTGCCAGACAGACAGAGAGACAGAAAGCGAGAAATCACCCTCCAGGGGGGATGGCCACGCCGCAATCCCTTTTCCTCCATTCTCCTCTCGGGATCTTGGGCACGCACACACACACGCCCGGCATGAGTTTAAGCCACCGGGTCCGGGACTTGAACCGCGGTCGACTACGTGGTAGTCCAGCGACATAGCCATTACGCTAACTGCTGGTCCCTCCAGGATAGTCTTAAAGAGAGAACACTTGCTGAAAACATAGGGTAAGTTGGTTCCTCTTTAGGCAACATGTGCCGGGGTTGGGCAGGAAGAGTGCACGGGCTGCACAGCTTTGCAGAGCCTTTAGCAGTTAGAAACATGTCTGCATTGGGGCCAGAGGTGGAGTGGTGGTTAAGGCAGCTGGACTCCCATACGGCCAACTGCAGTTCAAGTCCTAGACCCTGTGGCTTGGAAATCACACCAGGTGCATGTGCGTGTGTGCCCAATATATCAGGAGGAGAATGGAGAAGACGGGATTGCGGTGTGGCCATCCTCCCGGTGGAGTGATTTTTTACTTTCCCACCCACTGTCTCTGGTGGGTGCACATGCTCTATGACAAAACCTAAAAAAACAGAAAAGAAAGAAGGAAAAGAAACATGTTTGCATCTCCTTAACTTGCTCAGTATCACCTTGTATGTTAGATCTCTCTACAAGTTTAATATCAGGCTGACGAGCTCTAATCTCATCTTTGATCTGCATCTCACCTTTGGATCTAACCTCTTCCATTAGGTGAAAGCAGCCCTCTGGGCTTTGCAAGGTGGCACCTCTGTTGTTATTGCCAATGGAACCCACCCAAAGGTGTCTGGGCATGTCATCACAGACATTGTGGAAGGAAAGAAAGTTGGCACCTTCTTTTCAGAAGTAAAGCCTGCAGGTATGTTATTGTTCGTAAGGCCCCACGGCCTGTGGGTGGGAGCTAGCGACAGTCTAGCCTGGACAGAACTGAAGTTTGAGCTCGCAGGGGATGTAAGCCACAAAACTGGGGTGTAATACTGTGAAGCGCAGTGCTGTTTTAAACACGCATTGCAATACTGGATTTAGCTTTGTTTTTGTCAAATCTTACCTCGCCTACCTAGCTAGGCTTCCTATTCTCTCCAAAATCACTGGGTAAAGAATATGCAATAAGCATCCACATTCTCAAGAAACATACACTGGCCGCCAGCAAGAGACGCTAAGTAAGCACCAGAGATGGAAAGAGGCACAGATGTGGGATGTGCCGGCCAGCAGGTGGCATAGTGGTGAAGGCACTGGATTCCCACATGCCCAACTGCAGTTGGAGTCCCAGACCTGGTGACCTGAAAATCATGATAAAGAAAGAAATGTTTTGTTTTAAAAGATGCAGTATATGCTTTCAAGTGTTTATAAAGAATGGAATTGTCTCATCCACGTTCAGAAAGCAAACAGTGGAAAGTAGGAGTCAAAGTGGAAATGAACAGCGCCCTAGAAGACATAAAGAACACGTGTATCCACGTGGGCCGTCCTCACACTTAGCCTGGGCCAGTCTCGTATATTCTTTTGCCATCGTGTTGGTCAACGTGGTCCCCACATGGACAGCAAGCGTGCCATTTCTTCTGTGTGGTGCTGGGAGGGAGAGGACTAGCTTCCCTGACCTGATGGTCACACTGTTCTTGCAGGCCCTACCGTCGAGCAGCAGGGGGAAATGGCTCGATCTGGAGGAAGGACATTGGCCACTTTGGAACCCGAGCAGGTAACAACCTTCGCTGCCATTTCTGTTACGGTCTTCAGAGCAAGCCGGGAAGTTTAGTACAACAGTGGGCACAGCGACTCCGCTCTTCACAGGTAACACTGTGTCCCACGAGTCTGATCCAGATCTGCTGTTCTTTTTTTTCTTGTTTTTGTTTGTCTGTTTTTAAATTTGCTGCAGGGTGCCTGTGCTTGCTGGAGAGAAAGAGAGAAAGTGAGAAAGCGCCCCCTAGAAGGGATGGCCATACTGTAGTCCCACTTCTTGCACTCTCTCCTTGGAAGTCTGGGCATGCATGCACACGTACCTGGTGTGTCTTCCAAGCCATCGTTAATAATTGACAAAAAAGAAAATGCAGGGGAAAGGCTCCGTGGTACAGTGGTAAAAAACACTGCTCAGGAACACTGCATTTCACATGGAACTGCGGTTCGAGTCCCCAGCCTGGTCAGCCTGAAACATGCTGGGCAAAGAAACACGTGCCCGAGAGCCAGCCGGCTGAGAGACTGGAAGAAGGGGTCCGGGCATGGCCAGACCTGTGGGGGTGCCCCTCTCTGTCTCTCACTCTCACGTGTACATGCACAAGTTCTGTCCTGAATAAAGAGTTTTCTATTTGGTAGAGAGAAGAAAACGGCTCTGTGTGTAAAGGTCCTTAGAGCAGGACTGCTCATCACTCTAGAAACAAAGTGTGCTGTCAAGTCCAGGACTCAGACTACACAGCCAGCCACGGCGGCCTTTGTCTCTCAGAGGCTGAGGCCTAAGGTAGCTTTCCATCACTGACGTTTTGAGCAAAGGCATCATGAAAACGATGCGATCAGGATGGCCACCTAATCCTGCCTTCCGAACTGGGCATAGATATGCAGAAAAATGGGGCTGGCAGGTGGCGTGATGGTTGGGGTGCTGAACTCAAACATGACTGACTGCAGTTCAAGTCCCAGACATGACAGCTTGCTTTCTCACTTTCCTTCCACTCTCTCTCTCTGTGGTCAAATTAAAAAATAATAAAAAATAAAAGTAAATGACATAATTCTTTTTTTTTTTTTTTGGAGAGGTTTTTTATGCTATAGGGTGCATGCGCTTGCCAGACAGACAGAGACATAGAGACAGAAAGCAAGAAATCACCCCCCAGGGGGGATGGTCACATCGCAATCCCTTCTCCTCCATTCTCCTCTTGGGATCTTGGGCACACACGCACACGCGCCCAGCGTGAGTTTTCAGCTACCAGGTCCGGGATGCGAACCGCGGTCGACTACATGGGAGTCCAGCAACATAGCCATTACACTAACTGCTGGTTCCCAATAACATTCTTTAAAAAAAAAAAAAAAAAGTTTATAGGGACCAGCAGTTGGCATAATGGTTATGTCGCTGGACTCCCATGTAGTCAACTGTGATTCGAGTCCCATACCCAGTAGCTTAAATTCACACTAGGGAGAATGGAAGAGAAGGGATTGTGGTGTAACCATTCCCCCCCTTGGGGGTGATGTCTCTCTGTCTCTCTCTGTCTTTTTCTTTCTGGCGAGCGCACGTGCCCTATAGCAAAAACCTCTCAAAAAAAAAAAAAAAGAAAGAAAAAAAATGTTTATACAATTAAAAAAAAAATGAAGGAAAATTACTTATCCCAGCCTATTCCAAATTGTCTAACTAGCCTAGAGATAAAGGCTCACGGGCCTGCCCTATAGCCTGTGGCCCTGCCCTGTCCACTGGGAGCTGGTCTAATGATGGGGCCGGCAGCACAAAGCCGCTCAGTAGGAGCCAGAGGCTGGCTCCCCGGGGCACGCTGTGAAGGATGGAGGAGAGTTACATATGTAGCTTTGTTCTGGGAAATGCGTAGGTCCGATAAAGAAGTTGTAACTGCGAGTAGAGAGAGGAGCCTAGCTTTTCCCTTTCGACCACTTTCCTGTACTTCAGGAATCACCACACTGGTTTGTCACGTGTCCTAATCTAGGCAGGTAAGAAAAGGGTTCCTTGAGACCAGCAGTTAGCATAATGGCTATGTCGCTGGACTCCCATGTAGTCGACCGTGGTTCGCGTCCCGGACCCGGTGGCTTATGGGCGCATGTGCATGCGTGCTCAAGATCCCGAGAGGAGAATGGAGGAGAAGGGATTGTGACGTGGCCATCCCCCCTGGGAGGTGATTTCTCACTTTCTGTCTCGGTCTCTCTCTGTCTTTCTGGTGAGCGCACGCCCCCTATAGCAAATACC